GCATCTTAAGTCTCAGTATTTTAAATTTGATATCAATTTAAAATTTATGAAAACACAATAATCTTGCAATACACTGTGCTTAGTCATAAACAATTTTTGCAATATATAAAAATGTAATTTCATTAAAAATTATTCACCATTTTTAGACATACTTTATGACAGTTTAGTTAAATTTAATAAAAATACTAAGTGAAGTTAAATTTGGTTATTTTAGGTGTTACCTTACATATATTTTTAATTTTTTTTATGTGTTCAATGACTTCTTTACAATGTAATTTGACATTTTACAAGTTTATACTGATTGTTTGTCCTTTCTCAAATTGGAAGGCCAAGTTCTGTTGAATGTGAATAGAAATAAAATACAATATTCATTTGAAGATGTGTTCACACTGACCAAGACAAAGCGTACCTTTAACTAAGCAACTTCAATGAGAAACCCAGGCAAAGACAAAAAAGAAAACTCTAAGGAATCAGCCATATATCAGCAGCAGCATCGATTTCCCGTACCTAACTAGGTACCATAGATAGTGTATTTAAACATTCATGTGAAAAAATTATCACATGAATGTTGGGTCTATGAATGTGACAGTTGATTTACTGGATGCATTTATGGCACTCAACTGTTAATGTTTTACCCACATTGTCAATTGTGGTTTTCTCCTTCACTTTTTCTCTTTTTAAACTTCAAAAGTTGTAATTGTTTTTGCAGCCTGATGAGATTTACATGTTGCTTTTGTAGGTATAAAATAGGTCAATATACTTACAAAGCACATATTATGGTATAATAAGATTATTAATATAATTCCTTTATGGTTGCAACATCTATTTTGGAATTTCCCTTTTAATTCAAGTCTGTGAGTCTACCCTTTCTTTGCTCACCCTTTTAATCTGAATTAATTTTTTGTCAGTGATATTTTGTTAATTGTTGTTTTAATTATTTCATTTTTAATTCTCAACTGGACACTTGTTGAAACACAGAAAAAAAAAAGAGTTGTAAAGAAATGAGGTAAGGAAAGTGGAGAGAAGATGAAAGGGATAAGAAACCTGGGAAAGGGAAAAGGAAAGGAAACGGAAAGATTATAGATTATTTCAAGACATATTACACAGGGAAGTGGGCATCATCCACAATGAAGACCAGCAAAACGATGGCAAAATTCATGATAGATGTCTATGCAGCTAGACTAGCCCAACAGATTGGAATGGCTAGCTAACAGCAAATTACCAACATAGCCTAAAACAGGACAAAATGTCAACAAATTGTGATTCAGATTCAAACACCCACTGAAGTATCAGAAGGTTAAATCCCTAATGACTCTCAAAAGAGGGAAGGATCCTCATAAAAAAAAAAAACTGTAAAAGGAAAACTATAAAAGGAATATATTATTATTCTGTAAAATATTTGTTACATCAGAAAATATATATACCTGCCATTCCAATAGCTTCCCTTGTGGACATTAACTTAAATCAGAGCTGACAGTTTTATACTGAGTGGAGTTAAAAGATAGATTGCCCAATTTCTTCTACTTTGCTTTACCCATTACACCTTCCATCCTGTTGACAATTCAACACAACTTTAAAGCTGGCATCTCAAAGCCAACATATTAGTCACATAGATAGTGGAATTTTAACAGTTATAATTAACACTCCGAAGATGTATTTGGGCATAATATGCTCCGCATATACAAGTCATCAATGACTGAAATGTAAAGTTGTTTATATTTTATAGTTTCATGCAAGGATTTATGAAATGAGTCATGACAAAACATTGTTGGCCCCTTTAAACTTGGTACTTGAGACTGTTGATATATTACATGTACAAACTATATTGAAAATCTTAAAGGACTCTTTGTGTTGGCAATTCTTCAATTGATCTCGTAATTGTACAGTTCAGTGGCAATAGAGGGAGCTGTCCATCTGTGATTTATGGAATATTAGTAAAGTTTTGATACATCGCAGATTCTTTGAGCTTTTGTCAATCAACAACTCCAACCTACCACCATTTAGGTTGCAAGGTGATTTCCACTGAATTATTTTGATATAAAAAATAGTCAGTAAATTGATATTTTACAAAACACACCTGGCAAATTAATTTCAGCAAAAGAACTAGATGAAAAAGGTACATCACTTTTCTATACAAGGTAGGCTTATATTAACTGGGAAAGTGTGATAATATTAATTACTTTAGTGCAATTTGAGCAGATGTGATAATTGCATAATTTTGAAAAAGATGTGGCAATTAAAGAGACAGCATCCAATAAACAAAATTCAGAAAGTGCTAGATAATTCAGGGTTGTAGCTGTAGAAAAGGTAGGTAATAGACATTTTAAGGGTGGGTAGTTGATAAAATTAATAAATTCAAAACAAATAACAGTAGATTTTAAGGACATGGAAAAGTGGGTTAAGGGATATGAAATTAGCTTTAGACTTGGTGGAAAATCTCAAGGCTGGGTGGTCTGCCCACCTCCGCCCACCATAACTACATCCCTAGTAATTATTTTTCCAAGTACTTGGAAGTGGAGTTGGCTTTTTTTCAGTTCAGTGTTTAGTGACGTATAATACTTGTCTAACTTGTGCAATGTTCTAATAAAAGACAAAATTCTAATTTTTTATATAATTTGGACAATAAAAGTATTTCTTAATTACCATTTTCAATAGCTGTTTGATTCTATCATCTATCATTGGGTTAATAATATTTCATGCATAAAAGACATTACATTATAAACAAGTTTTTTAACTACTTTTGAGTAAAAACACTAAATCATACATTCTTCTATACAATGAGGTAAGTGCATATTGTACTTTCATATTATATCGCGCTACAGTACTTAAAAGATTGTAGAATAGTACGGTACTGTTCACGGATAGTAAAATTTACACACAATCCTAGAAGATCAAATAAATTTTCATTTTGATTTGGGGAGGGGGGGGAACTGTATTAATTATACTTGTCACAAACCAGGCCTCATGTGTCCAACTTTTACGAAAAACGTAAATTTTCACACAATGTCATTATTCAATGACTTGACCGGAATTCTGATTATCAACAACCTTCTGTAAAAGATGTAATCTTTTTAAATATGCCAAAGGCATTTGATAAGCTCCCACATGCGCTTGTTTCAATGTTTAAGCACTTCTAGAGCTAAAGAAAACATGTCCTTAGGGCATGGATCTCATCATCTTCAAATAAATAGACAATCTGTTGAATATGGTCCACTTTTCCAGAGCCAATTTTACCATATGATTAATAGAAATTCCAGGTATACAGTATGCAGGGCCCCAAGCTTTACAGCATCAGATCAAAGCAAAAAAAAAAAAATAAATAAAAAAAATAGGATGCAGGACACACGAGTGTCAGTGCTACATGGGGCTGTACCACTAAATAATAACTCTAAATTGTTTGATTGAATTAGAGGGGCAAGTACAAGGATCCAGACAATTAAGTGAGCCCTAGAAGAAAAGGGAATGAAGACCAAAAATGAGACATTAGGAAGCGAAGGCAGATTTTTTGTAGAAAAATCTCAGTAAAGAAGAATTATGAACAGGGGAGAGAGGAATAGACGGTGGTTGCTGTTTCGACAACTTAAAAAATATTGCACAGTGGAAGACAAAATGTTTAGTCCTTCTTCGGCAGCATTGTACATATATTCACATAGTTAATGAACAAACATATATGTTATGCAAACTACAGCTTTTCTTGGATCAATTTCGAAAATCCAAAAATTTGTTTATTTCCTCTCAGAGATTAAGTACCCTGAATAATACTATTGTTGGCCTATGAAGGGCATATTGCCAAGTCACATAGGTGAGAGGCAGGGGTCCCCAGGGGACGTCTTTTCATGCAAGATACTGCAGCAGACACATATTACCATGTCAGGTTAAATTGCCTGTTGAATCATAAATAACTAATTGTGTCTTTTCCCTTGTCTTGCTGCAAAATGTATGTAATTACACACAACACAGCATGTACTATTTATATAATATTTACTTTTCAAATTATGAATGTTAAATATCTTTCAAAAGTGATTCATAAGAATGTTTTAAATAAGTATTAATAATAACAGTACAATATTTATTTATTTCAGCATAATGTTTCACAGCTTAAGTACCGGAGTTCACGTCAAAATTATTTACTGCTTTACTTACTTTACTGTTTTTTCAGGTTGTTAAGCACATTGAGCCTTATGCAGAATGCGCTATGGAAGAACTTATTATTATTAATATTATTATTATTATAAACCAAACATCAAAAAGGAAGTCAAGTTATAAATACAAATATATACAATCTGATTCAATAATAACAATAATATAATAGGAGTAAATTCTCTGAACTCCAGAGAACTCTGAAAACTAATTTACCAAGTAATATTAATAATCACTATGATAATTATAATAATGACGATGGTGTGAAAAATAATTCTAATTTTTAATTGAAAACTAGTAATTTAAATTTACAATGTCAGAAATTCAAATGTCAATCTTTTTCTTACGCAGAAATTATGAATTTTTATGTTTTTATATGAATGAAATTTCTGAAATGAGACACCACCAATTTGCTTTCACATGATTCGTATAGATTTTAGAACGTCCTAATTTAGCGTCAGATGTCACAGAGACACCAAGAATCTGTTTTTGTTGAAGTATAGAAGAATCTGATGAGTTTCCGTTGAAATTAATGTTTCCTTTTGCGTACATTAGCGAAAAGACACCTTGGCTCCACTCATACCCTGTTATTAAAACTTTCTCATGAACCAGCATCCACTAGAAATATTACAAGTTTTAGCACACACGTTATCTAATGATTAAATTTAACAATAATAATTTTATATGATGCTTCTATCCACTATACTTTTATCATCCTATTTTATCTGTTTTCTATTTCATATTTTGTCATCCTTTTGTATCACAAAATTAAAATTTTAGCATTACATCCTAATAATAGTAATAAATTATTTGTACAAGATACTTTGAATGTTCACTTAAAATTGTTATTTTTTACTTACCCATCTGTGGAACCAGATATGACATTTTCCCCGTCGACAACAAGACATGTGACTGATTTAGTGTGAGTTGTCAAAATCCGAATGAGTGTAAAGTCTTGTAAGCACCAAAGGCGTATTGTCTTGTCATGTGAACCAGTTACTCTGAAATTCAATTAGAGAAAATATAATATAGTAAGACAAGAAAGTAGAGTTATTAAGAACAGGTACCGGTACAAAATTTCAAAATGCCAATGGGCAATATCTGGGGAAAATGGGGAAAGGAAGGGTGGTGGGATCTGTTCCAATGGAATTTTCAATATCATTATTAATTAATTAATTCCATTATCAATAAAGTATATAATCAGAAGTACATTTATAGTGTCTGTCTACTATATGTAATTCACTGTATTAGGCCATAGTACGTGCTGTTTTTTGCAAGCAGCCTTAACTCACTGATTTGTGAAAGTCAAAGCTGGAAACAACATATCTTGTTTATTTCAGTGGGTTTACACCTCCCTCTATAGTTAGCAATTATATCTAAATGTTTCCAATGAAGTGTTTGCCTTGAATATCCCCAGTTAAAAAATAAATTGAAAAGGGTAATCCCTAGAATATATAGGAAGTACTGGGATTTGGAAGGTTAAGTTATTGGTTGAATTGGTGAAAGCATAGCTATAAAGTGCCATTACGGTTACTTTGGCATTTTGATACATTCACACCCGTAAGTGCCACATCCCACCAACAAGCGCAAGCTCCTTTGATTCAGTTCCAGGCTAAAAGGGCAAACAGATGCGAAACTCAACTAACTCTATGAATACACACCTTTGTATTAGTGATACTCTCGTGTTGATTGAGCATTTGTCGGTAATCATTTATATTAGGTTTATTTACCCTTTTAGCACTCCCCTGGGGAGGGGGTGATGATTAAATAGTTCAATGGACAACAGTATACATACAGTAATAAAGATAGATAAAAAAAGGATGGGCTGGAAGATATTCTAATAGGTCATAGAGTAAGTTTCTCTGGGAAATGAAGTATGTAACTCACATAAATATTGCCATCGATTTTGAGAAGCGAAAACTTGGTACTAAAGCAAACGAAACACATTCTTAGATCCAAAATAATATCATATAATGATGACAATTATGATGTTAATAATAAAAGTACTCATAATGACCACATTACAGAAGTAATTTTCAGTTTTTGCCAAATTACAGATGACAAAACAAATTCTGAGATCTACTAAATTACCATGTACAAATTATATTTTTTTAAATTAAAAAAAAATGCAGCATGAACAAGTCACAAATGTGTAACACAATATATAAAGTAAAGCCAAAAATAAAACATTTAAAATAGACCTACACAAAGTAAAAATCACCTCTCCATGCATGTTTTGAGTTCAAAGCGTTAGTGTGATAACTAAACACACATGTGACTAAACAGATACAGTGGGTCTAAGACAATGCACTGTTTCATACATATTCAATGAGGGGAATGAACCAAAATACAGAAGAACAGATGTAAACTGAGTCTAATTAAAAATAGGCTATTATACGTTTTGCTTAATCATCAGGGATAATACATAATACAAAGAGACAAACTATAGTTTAATAAAGAACAAGGAACATTAAAAACACACATTATCACAGTAAATGTGGCTTTTTTTCCTAACATAAATCTATACCACATACAGTACAAAGTTCTCATAAATTTACGCTAGAAAAAAATTACCCTCTTGTGACAAATAATTTACTTATATGATGTCAAGAACTAGAAAAACACTTTAAAGATATTAGACAATTGGTGACAGATGCAAAGCAGTGAATATTGATGGTGGACGTTGCAAAGTATCGCACTTGGACGCTGAGCAGAAGGCGGAGGAAATAAGTGTCAACTGCCTAAATGGTATCTCTGTGATTTGCTAGGCATACCACCGTTAAACTCAGTGAATACAGCCTCATAAATGTCACATGAAATGGGAAGCTTGTTGGTACCACATTCTTGTTAAAGTGCAAAGGCAGGATAGAAAACTTTAAGTAGTTCCGGAATGGATATATTATGAAATTGTTAAGAGTACAAATCGCTTGAACTAGAGTAACCTATTTTCATAGTTTCCTACTTGCGTTTAAAGATTTGTGTCAAAAAAGATTGATTTTCTATATATTATAAAAGTATTATTGCAAATGAAACATCACACATGTAAACAGGTCTGATTGACTGATTTTATACTTTACAGCGCAGCTTAAAACGTTTTGTTGCTGGTGCTTTACAAACAAGTAATTTCACTTAACACACCTAATTGAGCGTTTAATGAAATCATAAAGCCAATCATAATAAACAAAAACCTTACAAAATGTTTTCTTGTTAAAAGTAGCTTCAGACTCTGACAATGTCAATCAATTGTTTGCACCCATTTTGAGTAGTGACACTCTTTCACAATTTTGACTGACTATATTTAGGTTAGCTTTACAAGACATAGGAATAATTTAAAGCAAGATTTGGAATTCAATCTTATTTCTAAGGGGTGACAAGTTTTGTTGTAAAGATAATACATGAATAAGTTTTTGGGGTTTTTAAAGTTTTTAAAGGGCAGAATTACTGAATGTGAGAGACAAGGTAGTCAGTGGTAATCAATGCTTTCCCAATTCATAACCTGCACCCAAACTGATTATAAACTTACCAGTACAGTAGGCCTACTATAAATATATTACAAAGAAAGTTTTAGTTTAGAGCTCACAGACAGCATATTTAGTAATGTCCAATTGACAGCCACAAGTGTATGGAGCAGTAGTGGTGTACAGGGCGGGATTAAGCCAGGCCAAGCCCATGTCGGCCAAACTACAGTTGGCAGAGCCCTAAGTCGGAACAATTTTTTAAAAACTCTTTAGACATAATTTGCTTTAAATTGCCTCATAACAGCTAAAAATGGTCTAAAGATTTTCCAATTTCTCTAGCAACCCACTAGGCCATCCCCTGGACCCTGATGGCATCCACTAGCCCCTTTGTCTGATAGCCTCATCCCCTGAATACATCCTAGACCCACTACAGAAAGCCAAGACTGACTACAATGAGAGAGAATATTACACTAGATACCACCTTGATTTAGTTTTTTTTTTTTTCAAACATGAATTTGAAGATTTTGTTTTGCATTTGGAAACATACTTTGATGCATCATAATCAACTGGGCAAACAAGGTCGAAAAATGAATGATAATGTAAACTGGTCTTCGAGTAGTGTCTAGCACATTGACAACAGGATATCCTTTTGCATTTTCATCTTCAAATTTTGGCAAATAACGTTAATATCTCATGTTCCACTAATATTATTCTGAATAAATAGGAAATTAATATGATTAGTTTATGCAAGTCAAATATTTAATGATAAAAAAAATCATTACTTAACTTTCTTTTTTCTATTGACAGCACCATTCCCTCAATATTTCTTCATAATCTTGTACCTACAGTCAATATTCTAGAATTGATTAGGGATAGATAAAGCTAGCTCATAGTGGGGAGGGGTGGAGGGAGGGTTAGGATCTAACAATGGCCCAGGTCAAGTCCAGAGCTCTGGCAAAAATAAGACGTTATGGAGTGACACAAATTAGAGTTGTTTTTTATTTAAATACTAGTATATGATTTGATTAAAATTAAATAGAAACACATATAGCAATCTATGACTTGGGCCATGGGCCTGACCAGAAAAAAAAATTAGGGAGTTTTGAGTGATTTTGTATGTCTTTCTAAATTAATTTTTAAATAGAGCAAGTAATTACTAGAGTAGTCGCAGGCTAGTGTAAGGGTCTCTGATCAAGGTCCAGAAGCCAAATGCTCCAGAAACAATGCAACATAAACAAATAAATAAACAAATAATTATATATAGGTCATTTTGAAATGATTACAGAGTAAAGTCAGAGAATTCTTGTTTTTAGAAAATGTGAGAAACCCACTTCCTCCTGAAGATGTTGAGAAATCAAGTGTTAAGTAATTTACAGAACACATGACAGGATACTTTAAATAAATTTTAATGGCGGAACTTGATGTAAAGACATGAACAGGATTATGTGATCCTTATCAGTGATTGAAAGCAACTTCTAAAAAAAAAAAAGCCTTGAGACAAACAAAAATTCGTCGGGTAAACTAACCAACGACGGCAGAATTCTGTGAGCATTCTATCAATTCTGAGAAATTGGGGCAGCAATCACTTAGGGATTCAGATTTAGTGGTACTACCCCATTATATAAGCAAACACTGTACTATCTATAATTATGAAGATCCTTGGTTCATCATATTTTTTATGGGTGTGGCCTATTTGAAATTATACAAGCACTATCCCTTACCAGAGTGTACAACCTCTTTATAATGTGTTAATGGAAACATAAAAAAACGATTATTAGCTCTATGAATTTAGGGAAATTAAATTAAAATTGACCAATCAATTTTGATTATATTATCTGTATAATCTTACACTGATCATGAGACTTCATGTATCATTATAATATGATATGTATGTGTCTAATTGTTTTTTTATTAAACATAATCCATAACTACACTCCTTTAAAATTGCAATGACTGTGACAAGCAAATAAATATATTTTTAGATAAACTGCTTTTGGCAACACCAGTCACC